CCGTGCATCACTATGAGCAAGATCGTGCTTCAAGTGAAGAGCCTGAAAAAGAAAAGAAGGAAGAGCCTCTTGTTCAACCAAGGCCCTATGAGCCTAATATACCTTTCCCACAGTGGCTGCAAGGTCACCTTCCTTATGATGAAGAGTTCCACAAGTTCCACAAGACTTATTGGGCAAAGTACACATCAATATGCCTTTCATTGATACTATCTCCAAAATGCCCAAATATGCTAAATTTTTAAAGGAGATTTTGACCAATAAAAAGAAGTTGAGAGCACATGAAACTGTGAAGCTCACCCAAGAGTGCTCAACTATAGTCCTTAAGAAGCTTCCACCTAAGCTTAAGGACTCCCCAAGGAGTTTTACTATTCCTTGAACAATTGGAAAAACTCATATTGATAGGGCTTTATGTGATTTAGGAGCAAGTATTAATCTTATGCCTTATTCTATTTTCAGGAAGCTTGGAATGCATAAACCTAAGCCAACCTCCATGTCACTTCAGCTGGCAAATAGGTTGATCACATACCCCAAAGGCATAATGGATAACATACTAGTAAAAGTTGGGGAGTTTATATTTCCTGCAGACTTTGTGGTACTTGACATGGAGGAAGATGATGATGTCCCCATCATACTAAGGAGACTATTCTTGGCCACTGCTAGGGCCATCATAGACGTACAAGAAGGGAAGCTCACACTGAGGCTAGATGATGAGGAAGTTGTATTTCAAGTTTTCAATTCTTTTAAGTACCCTTCTAGCCAAGAGTCTTGTCACTTTGTGAGCGTTGTAAATGTTGCTTCTCCTCCTCCAATTTATGTGAAGCATGGAACCACAAGAAGAAGGCCAAGAAGGAAGCAATATAAGAAGAAGAAAAGACAAAAGCTTAAACCATCTATTAATAAGCCTCCTAATTCGAAGCTTAAATTTTCTTCTTTTTATTCTAATCCCCATCTTATGAATAATTTCTCTGACGTAATAGGTGTTGGGGAGACAAAGCTGTTGGGGAGACAATTGCATATCAAGGGAGTCACCTCTGAGATTCATACTTTCTTCCCACCATGATTTAACAGGAACGTCAGGCTCGTGACGTTAAATAAGCGCTCCTAGGAGGCAACCTGTGTCTTTTATTTATTTAAATTTTATTTCTTTTTGTTTATTTTAATTTTGCTATTATTATTTTATTTTTAAAATAAAGAATAAGTATATTGAAAGATTGCAAGAACGAAGTTGTTGTTCCTGCACACACTTTTGAGCTCTGATCTGAAAGCACGCTTGTGCTCGAAGCCGTCGCGCTAAGAATTATTGGGGAACCTCTTTCCATTAGCACGTCCTTTGAGTTGAGGATTCCAAGCTAGGGCACTTAATAAAATATTTCTGTTGATTCAATTGCTAATATTGCTTTTATTTTGGGTGGTTCCATTTATCTTTCTTGTAATAATATGTATTTATTTTGGATTTTAAATAAAAGATATGGATGACGTATTTTTCTATGCTGTTACTAGTTTTAGCACTCTTGGATATAATATGTTTACAATGAAGAGTGATAGTTCATTCAGGTTTAAAATAAGTTAGTGAACACTATACTCTGACTTATTTTTTATTTTATCATATTTTATTTTAAAATTTATTTTTAATTCCTATAATTTTTTTCAACTTTAACATCTAATAATGTAAAATATTTAAAATTAATTTTTGTTATTATCGGGTCTTCATTTATTGTTGGTTTAGTTTACAAAATTTCATTGTATTGTTTAAAACAGTTAAATATGTTTATTTCTTATATAATTATTGAAATTTACTTTTAAACTTATAAAAAATATTTTATCCTTTAAATATAAAATATTTATTAGATATTTTTAAAAATTATATATATTAGATATATAAATAAATAAACATAAAAATTTAATTAAAATAAATTTTAAAAATAAAAATAACCAATAAATTGAGAAAAAAGACTTTTGATGTGACTAATCATTACACATGTGACAAGTAGTCATTAACTTAATAATTTATTTTTTTATATAACAATAAGTATTACATTAGTATTGGAATCTGTTTGGAGAACAAGTATACTCGTCGAGAAGTAATAACATGTTCTAAAATAAGTTCCCGAAATATTATTCCACAAAAATTGATTTCTAATTACTAAAAAATTCTTAATTCAATTGTTTGAGCCTAAAAAATGTGAAATTAAGTAAGAACCAAAATTTAATTATAAAATTAATTATGAATAAAAGCAAATAACATAATACACGTTTTAGTTAAACTTATAGGAGAGGAACCTAGGACATATAGGTTTTCTCATTCAATCTTTTATGTTATTTTTCCGTTTAACTCTAAATTTGATTTCCTTGTGATCACTAATTATTCATACAAATACTATTAATACCCAATGATCATGCAATACTAATATTCTTTTCTCTAAATTAATATCCCCAATGATCATGGAAGACATCAATTAAAGAAAGCATAAAGAACCTATGGACTTGTTAATTTAATATTGATTGGAAGAGAAAGATTGGTTTGGTCTACTTAATCTTTTGTCTCGTTTTATCTTATAGATCTATTAATTAATCGAGATACGGTCACCTGACGATATAATTAGTTACGATTATAATTATGCGCAATAGAATAAAAGTTAATCACGAATGAAAACCAAATATAGATTTAAACTTCAAAATCTAATAAGTTCATGAGCAATAGTTCCCATAGCCCTAACTATGGATTTAGTTATTCATGTTAAAGAGAAGAACTAAAACAATATCGTAAACAAAGTTATAAAGAAAAGTAAACTAGAAAGAGATGATTTCTCGATCTTCAACTATGGTCGCTCAAAGCTCCAAGTCCCACCAAGAGTATGCCAACGATCCCGTGCAAGAGAGAAAGGATGAAGAGTCAAAGACAAGATGTCTGAGGTCTCTTTTTAATAGGGTTTTAAATGTTCTATATTAATTGGGTGTGCCGCAGATAAGTACGGTCGTGCATGGGCTTGAAGCACTCCCGTGCTTGATGATAGGGTCTGAGCTTGTTAACTGCTGCAATGCTCTATTTTGCAACCAATTTGGACCCAAAACATGTCTTAAACCTAGTTATGGCCTTTCTATGCTAAACTGCACAATATACAAATAAATCAATGTAAAATCCAAATAACGTCACGAGCCTGACGTTCTTGTTCAATTATGGTGAAAAGAAGGCATGAGTCTCAGAGGTGATTCTCTTGATATGTAGTTGTCTCCCCAACACTTATTACATTAGAAAAATTATTCATATGATGAAGATTAAAATAAAGAGAAGAAAATTTAAGCTCTAAATTAGAAGGCTTATTAATGGATGGTTTGAGCTTTTGTCTTTTCTTCTTCTTAGATTGCTTCCTACTTGGCCTTCTTCTTGGGGTTCCATGCTTCACATAAATTGAAAGAGGAGAAGCAACATCCACAGTGCTCACAAAGTTGCAGGATTCTTGGCTAGAGGGGTAATTTAGAGAATTGAAAACTTGAAAAATATCTTTCCCGTGCTCTAGCCTTAAGGTGAGCTCTCATTTTTGGATGTCTACAAGGGCTCTAGTAGTGGCTAAGAAAGGTCAACCTAGGATGATAGGAATATCACCATCCTCCTCCATGTCAAGCACAACAAAATCTACAGGAAATAAGAAATCTCTAACCTTTACAAGCACATTTTCCACTATTCCTTTAGTATAACCATAGATTGATCTGCTAACTGCAAGGAAATACAGGTAGGTTAGGGTTCTTGCATACCCAACCTTCTAAAAATAGAGAGAGACATTAGATTTATACTAGCCTTTAGATCACAGAGGACTTTATCAAAATGAGAGCTACCTATAGTACAAGAAATAGTAAAACTTCCCGAGTCTTTGAATTTTGGGGGTAGCTTTTTCAAAAGGATTGCGAAACATTCCTCATTAAGCACCACAGTTTCGAATTCCTTTAGCCTCCTTTTGTTGCTCAGTATCTCCTTGAGAAACCTGGTATATTTGGGCATTTGAGATATGGCTTCCACAAAGGGTATATTGATGTGCAACTTTTTCAAGATTTCGAGAAATTTGTTGAATTGCGGGTCTCTTTGATTGCTCCTCAGCCTCTGCGGAAAAAGGGATTTGAAGTTCTTGAGGCCTGGGCGTCACAAATGGCTATTATTTTTTTGTGTTCTGTTTCTGTGATGTTAGCACAGTCGTGCATATCAACAAAGCACAAACGTGTTTCCTTTAAGTCATGGTCGTGCTTCTCAGTAAGCACGGATGTACTTGTGGCTCTATTCTACGATTCTTGCAGCTTCTTTCCACTTCTAAGGGTGATAACATTGCATTGCTCCCTCGGATTAGGTTCTGACTGAGTTGGTAATGTTCCCAATGCTCTTTGACTTAGAAGATTAGTAAGTTGTTGAAGTTGTGCTTCTATTTGGATGTGTCAGAGCTTATTTCTGAGAACTTTTTGTTCATTGTTTGGGCTTACTGCTCGATCTGAAGGCTTTGTTGCTCCATCTGGGATTCAAGCTTTGAAATCCTTTGCTTCAATTGAAAGGCTGAGGGCTCTCTCCTTTCTAGCCTTACTCCTTGAGGTTGCACATGGAGAGGGCGATAAACATTTGAATTTTAGCCTCCTTGGCTATTCTCCTATGTATTCTTGGGTTTACTATGCCATCCCGAATTATAATTGTGCCCAAAAGTTAGCTTCATCAATCTCTGGAGGTTTTGCTAATGAATCTTGTGCTCTAAGTAAGAATTCTATTTGTTTTGATAGAGTTTCCAACTTACTTGTTATTGAGTCGCTACATTTTGCCTAGTAGATTGGAATGACTTTTTTCTTTTTTGTTTCTATGATGGTCTATATGCCATTGAAAATTGCTGGATGCTATCTTTTCTATCAATGTATAGGCCGCAGTTAGCCCCTTGAATAGGAAGGATCCTCCAGTACCTGCATAAATTGTGGCTCTATTGGAAGATGAGAGTCCAACGTAGAAAATCTGCATTTACTTCCACATAAGAAAACCACGATATAGACATTTCCTCATAAGTTCTCCAAAGTGCTCCCACGTCTAAAATAGAGATTCAAACTCATATTGTTGAAAATTGGAGATCTCTATCATCAGCTTCGCAGAGAGTGATGGTGGGAAATATTTGGCTAAGAATTACTTGGTTAGGTCATCCCATGTTGTAATTGAATTGAATAGAAGTGTGGAGAATCATGCATTCACCCTTTCCGTGACAAAGAATGGAAAAAGGTGAAGCTTCATAGCATCTTTGGTGACACTATTGTATTTGATGGTATCGGTGAGTCGGAAGAACTTTTTTAGATGAAGATGAAGGTCTTCATCAGGTCACCTAAAAAACAATGTAAAGTTCTGGACTAGATTGATCAAAGTCGGCTTTAATTCAAAATTGTTGGCTTCTATATCAGGTGCTACAATACTCCCAGCATCACCCTTAGCAGTGGGTGTCATATAATCCTAAATTGACCAGTCTTCCATCATCTTTTTTTTTCTTTTTGCACTTCTTCCTTAGCCTACGTGTTACCTTCTTGATTTTCTGATCAAATAAAAAAGTTGTAAAGCACTTAAAACAAGTGAGCATACACTAAAAATTATAAAATAAAAAATAAAATAAAAACAAAAATAAATGAATTTTTTTTTTAAAATAAACAAAATAAAATTAAAATAAAGCAAAACACGAATTGTACAAATCAATTAAATTCGAGATTTTCTTAATATTGGAAAGACAATGCTCAACAATGGTGCTAAAAACTTGTTCGAAGGGCAAATGTACTATTACTTATTTGGAGAACTAACTAGCAAGTGTACTAGGTAGTTGTAGCAAGTAATAAAATTTGAAATTCATTATGAGCCCCAAGTATCGTCCACAAGGATCTTATTTCAATTACCACTTCATAATTTAACAATTAGTTGAGCAAAACAATTCATTGAGAGGTTTGTAACATGTGAAAGTAAGAAATAAAGACAATCCAAGGTAATAAACTTGCTGTAAAAACAGAATACAAATTTTGTATTAAGAATGCTATATGGAGAATAGTTAGGAGTCACTTCACCAGATTTTCAATTGCAACGTAATCATGTTCTGAACTCTTGAGAATTTTAACTAATTGATAATCAATTTCACTTCTTTAACCAAAGGATAATTCTTTGCCTCATTGATCTTAATACCTAATTAAACCTCTCTAATTCCTTAGGTGAAATTCAATCAAATATTGCATTAAGTTCTAAAAATTATAGGATTACTAGATCATGATACTTATTCCTAAGATCTCAATAACCTAGGCATATGATTCAAATCTGAGAAATAAACTCAATTTCCATTGATGAAAATTCCTCTAAATTCAATTGAATGAAGGATTAGTTCACAACTGCATTAAGAACATAATCACATACTCAATTCAATTAAAATCTCAAGATTCAATCCACAATTACATCACAACATCAAATCTGGATCCATAGATCCCTAACCAAAAAGGTTTAGAACAACATTACAATGGAGAAAGGAGAAGTAAGAGAATAAGAAGACAAGAAGCAGAAGAACATCTTCAAAGACCCAATCTTCACTCTGATTCCTCTAGAAATGAAGCTTAAAATTCGCTCCCAATCTCTCTCTCTAACTTCCCTTGGAAGTTAAAATAGTTACAAAGTGAAAAATAACAAAAATGAACCAAAGTCCCTTTTTCTGAACCTCTAACTTCTATTTATATGGTTTTTTTTTCCTTTTGCCTTTCTACATGTTAATCTCTGAGAATTCTAGCATCAAAGGTCTTCTAGAAGCTTCTAAAACTGATTTAAGAACTCAAATCGTCCAAAGTTGACACTTAGAAGTGATATTTAAAATTCTATTACTTTTGCATAGCTACTCTGAACACTTGAAGTATCTACGTGCTAACTGCGTAGCTACTCTAGGCACTTGAAGTAGTTAGTTACGCGCTCAATTGCGTAGCTACTCTGATCACTTGAAGTAGCTGCGCGCATTGTGCAGTTCTGAATTAGCCTTGGGCGTAGCTACTCTGAACGCTTGAAGTGACTACACGCTCTGCGTAGCTACTCTAGGCACTTGAAGTGGCTACGCGCTCAATTGTGTAGCCACTTTGAACACTTGAAGTAGCTACTCTCTTGATCTTCATGAATTTTCTTCTTCAAAGTGTTCACTCTATGTGCTCAGAGTGATTACGCCCTTCATAAAATACTTGATTTTTCATCTTTTAGGTTCAATTCCTCTACTTTCTTCACTTCAATCTTCAACTCAAATTCTCAGCTCAAGCTTCTGCACAAGGATTAAGTCACTTTTAAGTCAAATTGTTCAGAATTGGACTAAAATCTAAAAATCAAAATTATTTACACAACTATGAATATTAATGCAATTTTTATGATATTTTCAAGTTTGCTTAGCACTTTACTACTTATTTATTAACAAAAACTAGGCTAAAAATATAGTAAAATGTGGATTTATCATGTACCAGTCGAGAAGTAATAAAGGGTTCTAAAATAACTTCCTGAAATGTCTTCTTGCAAAGATTGATTTTCAATTACTAAGAATTTGTTAATTCAATTGTTTGAGCCTAAAAAATGTGAAATTAAGTAAGAATCAAAATTTAATTATAAAATTAATTATGAATAAAAGCAAACAACACAACATATGTCTTGGTTGAACTTATAGAAGAGGAACCTAGGGCATATAGGTTTTCTCATTCAATCCTTTATGTTATTTTTTCATTTAATTCTAAATTTGATTTCCTTGTGATCACTAATCATTCATACAAATACTATTAATACCCAATGATCATGCAATACTAATATTCTTTTCTCTAAATTAATATCACTAATGATCATGCAAGACATCAATTAAAGAAAGTATAAAGCACTTATGAACTTGTTAATTTAATAACGATCGGAAGAGAAAGATTAGTTTGGTCTACCTAATCCTTTGTTTCATTTTATCCTATAGATCTATTAATTAATCGAGATACGGTCGCCTGATGATATAATTAGTTAGCATTATAATTATGCGCAGTAGGATAATAGTTAATCATGAACGAAAACCAAATATAGATTTAAACTTCAAAATCCCATAAGTTCATGAACAATAGTTCCATAGCTCTATCTATGGACTTAGTTACTCATGCTAAAGAAAAGAACTAAAACAATCGTAAACAAAGCTATAAAGAAAAGCAAACTAGAAAGAGATTATTTCCCCGGTCTTCAACTATGGTCACTCAAATCTCCAAGTCCCACCAAGAGTATGCTAACGATTCTGTGAAAGAGAGAAAAGATGAAAGGTGTATCGAAGAGTCAAAGACAAGATGTCTGAGGTATCTTTTTAATAGGATTTGAAAACCCTAAATGTTCTTTATTAATTGAGCTTGCCGCAGATAAGCACGGTAGTGCATGGACTCGAAAGACTCTTGTGCTTGATGATAAGGTATGAGCTTCCTAACTACTGCAATGCTATATTTTGCAACCAATTTGGACCCAAAACAAATCTTAAACCTAGCTATGGCCTTTTTATACTAAACTGCACAATATACAAATAAATTAGTGTAAAATCCAAATAAATTGAAGGTCAAACATCAATATATGAGCTATAAAAGAGGGCCTAATTATAGATATATCAACTCCTCTATACTTATCTTTTTGCTTGTCCTCAAGCAAAGTGCTAATTAAGAGAATAATAGAATAACTTGAAACACAACCACAACAAAGAACCCAAGATAAATGAGATAAAAAGAGCAACAAGAGTAATATCACTGAGCATAAGCAATCAAAAGGATTCCTTATTTGAATCTTATATTCCCATACTTTTCACTCAAGCATTAAACTATAGAAAGAAGTAGTCAAAGACAATATGTCTGATGTCTCTCTTTAATAGGGTTTGAAAACCCTAAAAGTTTTTTTATGAATTGGGCTTGCCCTTGATAAGCACAACCGTGCATGGGCTCGAAGCACTTCCCTGCTTGATGATAGGGTCTGAGCCTATTAACTGTTGCAAAGCTATATTTTACAACCAATTTGGGATAAAAACACGTCTTCTAGTTATGGCTTTTTATGCTAAACTGCATAATACACAAATAAATAAGTGTAAAATCTAAATAAAATAAAGGTCAAATATCATTATATGATCTGTAAAAGAGGGCCTAATTATAGACTTATCAGAATGACATCAAGTTAATCACTTTTGAACGAAAGTGTCAAACACCAGCATGTTAGTATAAGACTAGTGTCAACTTTCTCACTGGACTTGTGATGATGCAATAAACCACAAAAAATATCAAAATGGTGTGTGAAAGATAAAGATCATAGAGAGTCAAGTGAAAAGTTACTATGACAAGTAATGGAGACCTCTTGCATTTTAAGAAGAAGACCATGTATTTCTAAAAATTATACCAACAACTGGATTGGGTCTTGCAGTCTCAAAAGTATAATCCTAGATTTGTTAGATACCAAATTCTCAAAAGAATAGGAACCTCAATTTTCCAAGTAGCCTTACCTTTGTTTTTTTTTTTTTTTTTCCAATCTTTATAATGTCTTTTATTTGTCTCACAACTATAAAAGTAGAGCTATCAAAACAGGCAGCTCGGCCTGGCCTGATACGGGTAGTGAGCTCAAACAGGTCGGGCTTAATTAGTCCAAGATAAAAATGGACTTATATTTTTACTGCCCAAGCCTTACCCTATGCGGGCTACAGGCTTCTGCGGGCTGGCCTGACAACTCAAATAATTTTTTTTTTCTTTTTCTTATTTTTGTAACATGTCATTTTTTACTGTTTTTATAACAACAAATCATTATTTTTATTACTATTTTTAGTGTTTGTAACATACCATGTTAAGTTATTTTTGCAAGAACTTAATAGACCACTCGTTTTTTATGTCCAATTTTTGTAATATACTATTTATTTGTTTTTTTTTAAGTTGTAAAAGGCCACTAGTTTCTTTTTTTTATTATTTTTGTAGCGGTGCAAAAGTATATAATTTAGACTTGTAATTTTAAGGTTTTGAAACTAAAATATATTTCCTTTCAAACTCCTTAAAACTCATGGTTTAATCTCAATATATATATACGGGCTACTCAAACCTGCATGGGCCAACCCGGTTAAAGCCCTA